GCACCACCATCAAAACAAATAAAGAATATTCATTGCATATCCTACCAAATTCGTTCGGATGTGTAACTGTGATAATACGACGAGGAAGATCAGTTTAAAGGAGCAAATGTAAGCATGTCTCCCCACAGCTAAAAGAAAACAACTGGCATTTCAATGAGGGGAAAAAAAGGCATCTACCATAACATGCTCTGTCTGATTATTTTTTTTTTTTTCCCCAGGACTTTAAGCAAGAGAGCTAGCAAATTTGGAAAGGAAATGCAAAGTGAGAATAATAATTTATTTAATAGTTCTAGATTTTTTACACCTCTTTAAATAACTTCTCAAAATCCAAGACTCCACAATTGCAACGAAACACATGTGCTTCTACTCTCACTGCACAGCGTCCTCCAAAGCGTTTCCTTACCATCCCCTCCACTCACGCTCATCTCTTGCCTATGTCCTGCAGCCCCAAAACACAAAATGTATTTAAAATAGCTTTTAAAACTCTTAGAGCATTTGATTTCCTGTCATTTTATAAAATGACGTTAGAGGTCTTACGGAGACTTCCTACATGATTTTTTTTTTTTCCAAAAAACAACCTTAATTAAAAACTTACCCTATAAAAGCAAGCAGCTGTAAATGCTGAACCTGACCATCAGCAAACATGCCCACCTCTGTAATTTCCTAACTGCATTTTCTGCCTTTGCGTGATTACCTAAGGAAATGCAATCACACAGGCAGTTGCCCCTTAAACCCTCTGGTCAAATCCAACCAACTTTGACAAGAGACATGGAAGTCTCAGAGTTAAGATGTTCCTGCAAATTTGGTGAAAATGAGCAGCTGGGTAAGGGACCCAATCGGAGGGCTCAGCACCCCACACCCAGAGCCCCCCGCTGCCTGCCCAGCCTGGATAGGGCTTGAGACAAATCTGGGGGCAATTCAGATTTTTAAGCCAGATCTGTCCCCTTTGCAGGCTCACCCCTCTGGAGGTGTACTGACCTGAAATGCTGAGAAAATCCCAGGAAATTCCTGAGATACACGCCAGGACATCAGGGTCCTCAGCAGCCCTTCCCTCCCTCAATGATCAACTCTGAACATTAGTCCCAATGTTTCTGCAGCTTCTGTCCTGAGTTTGCAGAATGATAATTGGGAGAAGTTACCAGCATGGTCTGGAGGTGTAAATTAAGTTTCTATCCCCTTTCTGAATTTTGTTTGGGCAGACTGGAAGCTTGCTCCACAGCTGGAAGAGAAACGTTTTGTTTAAGCAGCACAAAGACAGGAACAGACAAGAGCTTACTTTCTTGATGCTACAAATGCCCAAAAGCCTTGCTAGCAGTTTTTTTTCTTCCCTGCAGACAGGGAAAGAGGCCCTGAATAAGCTCCCTGAGGTGGCTGTGAGCTTTATGGAGGCTCATGGGCACCCAGACACGTGGCAGGGCTCAAGACTTGCCATGGCTGGTCCAAGCCCACCTGCTCTCCAAGAGCTTGCTCACAGCCAGAGATTTCAGCCATGACCCTCAGGAAAAGCGACTCAAGCAGGGAGCTCTTCAGCAAGCACACCCAAGCGAGGCTCCTGGAGGTAAAAGACTGATTTTTAATTTACCGCTGTTCAACAGAGGCAATAACGTGTGGCTACTACAAGGTGTAAGGAAGAACAGACCCATCGGTGCGATCAAGCCAGCTCCTCCAGACAAGGCACTCTCCTCTACACTTGAGTTGCGTTTGCAGTTTTTCCCCCACCACTGGTGTATTGTATATTTTATACAAAGAACACCCACCCACCAGCAGCCTGTCTCATGCTAAAGGCAACAGGAACACGGAGCAGCAACCACCACCCAGCACCAACACGGCCCAGTCCAATGCTGCCCAGTCCAGTACTCCAGGACTGGTGTGTGGTGGGCACCCACAGCAACGCAACTAACAAAGGGCTTCCAGCTGGGACCCCAGGCTGGTTTCCAGCTTGTTTCAGAGAATTATACCTCCAAGGCCCATTTGCATGAAAATGCATCTTCAGACTAACAAACGGCACCAGCGCTTTCAAGTTCTGGGTTACAAACTAATTCCATAAGCCACAAGTGTCATTAGATTGTCAGCCTGACAAAGGCAGCCCACTGCTGATCGCTTTTAACCGAGCTAATCTCAGCCTGAAAGCTTCAGGAATCTAAATAACTCTTGTTTCACAGAAGTTCCATCTCATTCTCATGCTGAAAATAATATACATAAACCAAGCTCATGTCTACACATTTGCACGACTTTATAATAAAAGTTGTGTTTATATTCTTAACATCTGTTGACATACACAGACTTTGTAAACCTGGCATAGATTTTAAAGCCACAGAATTTTCCATGCATCATGAACATTATCTGAGAGAAGCAATAAAAAAAAGCAATGAATACATGAATCATACCAATATCATCTGCAAAACATAAATCTGAAATACCTTTCATGTCAGCTCAACTACTCTTTCGGGGTTTTTTTTTTTTTATACACACCTGATTTTATGCCATCTGTAAAAGGGCAGCAGGAAGATCACTGAGGAAATGATATTTCTCAGTCCTTTGACTTTTACTAAATACTCACACTTTAAATAATGTAAACAGAATATTTATTACATGAAATGAAAGAAGTTGTACCTACAGGTTAGGCTTTTTTTCATTGTAGGACTAAATTCTCCCGAAGTACAATGCAGGTATATAGCTCTGCTTTTGTCATTTATTCCCTAGGTCATAATAAACACAATATTTAATAACAGTTATTATAAATATAAACATCAATAAGCATCCATGCTTAATTTTAATTTACTTTCAGCTTATCAAAAGGCAAATACTTGCTCTCTAACACCACCTCTGAACACCCCTTTGGGATCTGCACGTTGAGCCCTTTCCTGGACTACGATAACAGGAACAGGTTCTGCCCTCCACGCTGTAAATGGAGACACTGTGGCCAGTTCCTACAAACCAGCAGGTGAAATTCTGCCCTCAGACATTCACATATAACCTTGACCCAAGCAGAGCTGCACAGAGGACCCACTTGCCAAGCTTGTTCTCCCAGATGGATGCAGAAAGGTCAATTCCAGCCTCTGCTCTTGTTTCTGCCTTATCTGACATCCACAAAGAGCAACGAAAAACCTTGCACCGTATCTCCCAAACAATTCAAGTGGCAATTTTTTTTTTGAGTATCCCTTCTAAGATGACATGTACTAGAAGTATGAAAGTATACATCATTTACTAATAGGCAGATTTAAACATACACAACTTCCTATACTGGTATGTGCTTCACCAATCTTCAAAGTAGGAAGACATATGGATACCTATGTATGTTCTCAGATAAATCTACACAGCCAGAAACCCACAACTTTGTAAATTTTTACCAAAGCAATGCGTTTTCTAGGTATCTGCTAGCGCAGCACACTGATTTGTCTCTTGTTGGCACACTGCCTAAGTCCAGCTGATCAAATTGACTTATTTACACCACACAAAACCACTTTTTAATTAACTTGGGGGGGGAAAAAAAGTAATTTCCAGTTGTGCTGAACCAACAAAGACTTTGACCGTGACCTGGCTGAGACACTGTTTCATGACTACTCAAAGCACAAAGGCTGAAAATCTCAGCTCTCCCAAGGGTTACTTCTATCTCATCGTGTCAAACGTGCTGGTCTCTCCTGGTTGCTCCAGCTCCGAGCTGCCTCACCAAGGTTTCATGTGAGCTCCCTCTCATGGGCTTCCCTCCTTTGTTGCCCTCTGAATTGTTTGATACGGTTCTATTTGTTCCATATTAACATTCAGGTTTGAAGTGCAATCCAGGAAAATATGTACTCGGGGCTCTGGGTGTGCTCCCTGGACCAGCACTGTCCTGCTCGTGAGCTGGATTTTTCTGCAGGTGTTTTCTCTTTCCTTTTTGCCCAGCTCATAAGGGCTGGGACCACCTCACCCACCTTCTCTATATTGCCCAGGCTTTCCTTATGGTGACAACTACTGTCTGAAATGGAAAAAAAAACAAACAACAGAGCCAGCCTTACAATTTGTTGTTAATCTAGCTGACTGTGATTTCCTAAAAAGCTCCTGGCCTGGGTTTAGGGATAGTCAAGTAAATAATCATCTCACAGCACAGCTCTTGGTCCCTACACACATCAATAAAGCCTGGAGCTCACTGTGTCCCTCCCGTAGTGGGGAAAGAACTAGCTCAGTGAGAGCCATTGCCCAAACAACAGCCTGGGTCCTTTCTCCCACCCCAGAAAGCACTCAACTCTCCTTCAGAAACAGAACAGGAGGGACATGGATGCTCTGGGAACGTGACTTTTTTCTAAGCAATGTCATGATTCCTCAGAAGGCTATTTTTTTAGGGGAATGCAGCTGACCACAGATCTCAAGATAAATTCAGTATTTCTAAAGCGAGTTTGGAACTGATGTCCAAGACGTGTTCTTGTGGGATTGAGACATGGCTCGGGATCCTGACTTCAAATAAAAACCCAACAGGGTCTAACCAGCAGCCTGCCATGCTGAAGACACTGTGACATCACCTACGATGATTCATTCAAGAATACAGAACTCTGTCTTCCTGCTTAGAAGGGGAAACGCATCCTATTTTCCTCACATTATTTGCCAAAAGTATCTGTTCTTATATTTACCCATTTTTCTCGAGTTTTTCCCTGGCAAAAATAAACTCCACTGTCTATCAGTTTCATAATTCCAGCATTCATTTAAGACCACTAGTGATGAAAAAAAAAAAAAGGACCAAATATTATTTATCTAATCCCATAGTAACAACCCTGACCTTGACCCTAATATTATAATCAAGAAATTGTAATAATAGAACAAATTTACTTAACAACTACAAAATGGAATTCATTTACTCCAACTAATGAGATCAGAATCAGAGAAGAATCCGCTGAGGCAAACCCAAGAGGGTTTGGCCCCACAAGGATACTCCCAAATTTCTGAATACAAATATTTTCCCATCAGAATCGTATGGAAATGAAAGCATTTCCTTTGTATTAAAAGTGGTATATAACAATAATTACCTGATTAAAATTTTTGAAATTGAACTCTTTGTAGATGGCATCTCTTTCGCCTAACTCAGACCAGCCTGAAGCTTTGAGATCAAGTAAAACTTGGTTCCTCTCCTCTGTCGTCAACCAGTGAGACTGCGAAGACTGTTGAGGGGAAAAAAAAATAAAAACATGACATGAGTGAGGCTGAGGTTCTCTTTTGTACAACAGAAAGAATACCACACGATGAAATCGTGGTTATGTATTGTAGAAAGGTAAGGAAGTAGAAAATTCACTGCACAGTTTCTAATTTCACAAATCAGCATAACTTAAAGACAGCCAAGAAACACCGTTTCTGTTTGCTCTGTTAAGTTTTGCTAAATGCTTTTGTACAAAATGAGTAAAAAACAACAGGCTCTTTCACAGGAATGAATAGACACCAGCATACCTGTACCCATCCCTTTTTAATCCGGATTGTTCAGAAGCTGCAACACTTAATTTTCAAATATTCCACTCTGTCATATAAATAAAGGGTTACTTACATTATATGCTAAATGTATAAATATAAGGGATCTCAGGGAATATCTATCTATTCCAAAAGACAGAAGCAAACCAGGAGATTGTATTCTACCTGGCTTGTATCTTACTATTTCTAAGAAAGCAGGAATGGATTTAAAGATAGCACACACTGTGGAGTTCTACAAGCAACAAAGCTATTAATAACTAACAGCGAAAAGAAAAAAAATTGACAATACAGACAATATTAACAAGAAGCTAGAAGTTACTGGTATAATCACTAGATTCTGCAAAGCATGTATGTTTAAATATGTCTTATTTGAAGCAAATGGAGTCCTTTGGAAGTCACTGGGAGCATAGACATAACAGATTACACTATTCACTTAAATATCTGTATCAGTGCCTGAACTGCTCACGAGGCCAGAAGCAGATCCAGAGGAAAGTTCTATGGGGTGTTTGGAAGAGGTTTGATATTTTTCCTAAAAGCAGAGACTAAGGGCATGAGTGATTAAGTTACTCAGATGATGTATTCTAACAGATGGGATTCAAACTCCTATTATAAACACAATGCTCTAACGGGAAGAACTTTTCTCCCCAGTAGAGCAAAATTCAGATCGCTTTGGTCTTTGTATCAGCAGCTGGCACGGCTCTGTGAGACCTTCGAGAAAAGGGCTGAGCAATTTTGCTCCAGAGCTTCACAAAGGCATCGGAGGTCTGGGGGCACCCCCCGCCAGCTCAGCAGCTCAGGGTAATTTTTGCCTTTGCCATCCGTGCTGGCAGCGCTGCTACAGAGACCAGCAGAGCCCCAGTGCCACCAGATGGGGCTGCGAGCCTGAGCAGAGCAGGAATTAACGCAATTAATGCGACCTCGGCAAGGCTTTATGATGCAGGATGGCCAAGGAGCAACATTTGTTCCAATAATAAAGGATGAAAAAACCTCAAACTGCATAAATCTAAATCTAACAGCATCACTGCCACCGCTTGCGTTCAGCTGGATACGTCCAGTCCGAGAGATGGGTTTTACAGGTCCCAAACTGAACTAACTTAGGGTCTTTAGGCTTCAAATGTAACTTTGGACTTAAAAGAACAGAAATACCAATTTGTTGTTGGGTATAACTGCAGTTGCAGGCATGGTTTTCTTACGTTCTTCTTTTTCCAAGCATACATGAAAATTGCTGTCTTGAAACATCTGGCACAAGATGAAATTAGCAGGCTAATTTACAAAAAATCATGAGGGTGGTTTTTTGGGGTTTTTTTTAAGATCGCAAAGTCCAGGACTGCGAGCAGGAGACAGTACAAAGTCCATTCCCTAACGGAGATGTTCACTTAGTTGTAGGGACGTTGCCGTTACCTTCCCTGGAGCTCGCCCGGATACACACAGGCGTTGAGGAGGCAATGCTGCAATCTGAAATCAGATCATACAGTTTTTCACAGAAATACAGAGACGGAGTTTGCTGCAGGCCCTGACGTACACCGACGGCAGCATTTTGCTGAGGAACAGGTTGCGAAGGTCACGGCCTGAGTTAGTTCCTCCAACCCTTCCCAACTATATTCAGAAAAGCAGCAGGAACTTGCTTGTAAAAGGAAAAGGAGAAGGTGGGAGCTGCCATCTGCTCTGTCACGACTGTGACACGGGGCCCCGCACGGACTGAACGCGCAAGGTGACTGCACCGGACCCGCGGGACGGAGGGTTTAACGCGGGGAACCGGTAACATTCCTTGGGAGGAAGCTCAGGGGAAGAGAGCCGTTAGTCACGTTAAAAAATCAGCGAAAAATATTGCACGCTTGAGGGGTGAGGGTCTAAACCTGCAGGTGCTTCATGTAAAATAAAATTAAATTAAAAGGATGGAGGCGCGGAGGGAAGGAGGGCCGCGCGGCTGCGCCCCGAGCCCCCAGCGCCCGCTCCCCCCTTCCGCCTGTCCAAGCGCGGAGGCCC